ACCACGAGGTGGCAGGATTGTTCTACCGATGCTGGCAGGGTGGCGGGACGGCAATGCAGCTGCTCGTTTTTACAGCAAAGGCAAAAACTGTGCTTAGTTGTTTCTGTACCATCGTAACTGTGTTTAGAAATCTGGAAGAATTTCACATGTATGTGTTTAATCCATGCTCCTTATTTTCTTGATATAACATTGATTTGTTCTGAGTCTTGAGGGTTTTTTTTGTTGTTGTTCTTTGTGGTTTTGTTTTTGGTTTTGTTTTTTCTTGTGTTCTCAAGGGAGATGGAGGGGAGGGGGAGACGTACAGCAACATCCAGAATTCCTCACAGGTTCCAGCATTGATCAAACCCTGTGAAGCACATTACTGAGGCTATGAAGGCTGCTGCTTTTGTCCTCATTTCACCCTGTTCTGTCAGGGTATTGCATCACGTAATATGCAAAGTGTTCAGAGTTCCTGCAGTACCCCAGTAATGGGGGTGAGCTGAGGTTGCAGCAACAGCTCTACCTCTGCATTCCTGTTGCTTTCTATAGGCTTTAGCACACTTGATTCTGCTGCAAATCCTCCTTGGGGTCACCCAGTCCCCTAAACATGATGCAAGGTTTGTGGGGTGAATAAAAAGCAATTTGGGTAGGGGGTAGAAATTTTCCTGAAAGACCTACTTGGAGGGAGCATATTTTCTGATGAAATGGTGATGAAGGGAGTCTCTGTTTTCAGGTGTTTCCCTTTCAGAGTTCTTTCACCCCTCTGAAATTAATCCTTCTGTTTTAAGTCTCAATTCACTGTTCTAGGATGTGGGATTGAAAATCAGCAATGCAGTTGTTTGCTCTTACCTCTCCTTTCCTCTGTCAGCCAAGAGGGTCCCGTTTCTTTTGCTTCTAATAAGGAAATCTTGCAGGAAGATGGTTAGCAGAAAAAAAGGGTATATGAGAAAGAGGACTGCAAAAAAGACCACAACATTCAGGGGGTTAACAGCACCATTTTGGTCAGAAACTCCTCTCTAGATGGTGGGGACTGGAGGGGGAAAGCATCTTTCTTTGCTTTCTTTTCCATTTTTTTCCCTTTCCTTTGTCTCTTTAGCTATGTTAGGGCTACACCCAGGGTCCTTTCATAATCTCATTGTAGACCTCAATGAGGGGTATTTTTTGGCGTCTGAGCACTCTGTGCTTCTCTTTGCTGATGTGTGTATGTGGGGCTCTCCTCCCTCTGCATCCCCACCTTTTGTGCTACTTCTGCCTTCCTGAGCATGACTGGCTGTAGGAAGGTGCTCACTCCATTTTGGGTGTGGGACAGATGGGGTTCCAGTTCACCCACACACAGCTAAAATAAATGTAAGAGAAGAAATGTAGCCAAATAGGTAAAGAAATACCAGTTTATGATTCTTCTCTCCATTCTTCCCCCCATCTGGTTTCTATTAGCAACAAGAGCCTTCACAGGAGCAATACTCCTGTGTTCAAGTATTGTTGTCTTTTCGCCTGTCTGTGCTTAAATATCTTTCTGGCATAGAGAAATGTGTTGGATGGGAGGAGAGGATGCTCTTGTCTGCCCTGTTGAGGGAAAAGTTATGCTGGTAGAGTGTGTAGAGCTGTAGTTTGTGCTGGGGGGAATGGGATGGGATTGTTTTGCTGCTCTTGCTTATTTTCTTCTGGAAAGCAGCTAAGAGCTGTGCTGGCAAAGTGTCTATTCTGGTGTAAGCAGAGCTCTGCCCCAGGCTCCTCTGGCTCTGCACTCTGATGTCTAAACAGATTGCTGGGTTACACGCTGAGCATGACTGAATGCCACTGAAACGCAGTGGAGCAGAATTTCACGTGCCCGCCGCCCTGAGCTTGCTAGAGATGCGTGGGGAAGGCAGAGATGGAAGAGGGCACTTATTTATCCGGTGTGGCATGTGAAGCATTAAGCTTGTGGCAATTCCAGGCTCTACTGGTATGGGAGACCAAAGGGATCCTGTGACTCAGCTGGTGCCATGCTCTGTCTTACTTGCTTCATATGGCAGGGGATGGTAAAGAAAGAGCAATCAGAAAGATTGCTCAAGGGACTCTCGTACCTCTCGGTGCAAGTATCAAAGCAACTGAGACAGGCATTAGTCAAGAAATGACGAGCAGAATAGGCTGGATTGTCAGCAAGTAGGCAGGGAACAAGGCAAGAGTAGAGTACAATGATGAACTTGTGGTCCTTGCTTCATCCACAGACACATTCTATAGAATGAGCATTGCTGTGTGCTCATGGTCTATTTACTGCCTTATTGCCTTTTTCTTATTTTTCTCTTCCCTTTCTCCACTGTAACAATGAGGTGTAACACTGAAGTGTTACAGACCCCACTGTGACAAGAAAAGTATACTGCCTTCTTTCATGGTGTCCTATCACTCATTATTTACTGTTTGTCTCTGTGGTGTATTGACTTGATTCAAGAGAAATCCTATTGATATGGGGGGTTCTTGCTAGTGTTCTTGTTCAGTTAGGAGAGAAAATGCTGTGATGATTTTTTGGGGGTGGGGAGCAAGGGGGAGAAGGTAAGTTTTCATTGCTTATAGCATCATCTCTGTATATATTAAAGGATAAGATTCTAAAGTCAAATCAAGAGCTGTAGATCTTTTCAGGGTGAAAGCAAGCTAGTTAATGCAGCAGTACTTAGCATTCAAGAGCTTAATTCAGCCTTGGACTTAAAGAATTCAGCTCCTTTCCCTCCCCCTTCCTTCACCTCCTCCTTAGACAAAATATATAACACTGCATGTGTAATGCTTGTCCTAAGGAAGCTGAGGGCATTTAGCTGTAGTACAGGGAAGTGCTGCGCTTAGGATTTCCTGACAGCCTTTGTTTTTGGTGTGGTTATAGTGACTCTTGCCCACATCCTACTGATGTTCCTTGCCCTTTTGCGTGTGTGGAGAAAAGGGATGGCGTGTAGGGAGGAGCCAGTTCCCTTCTCTGTCCCCATTTTACCTGTGTGATCATTGTGGATCATGTTCTCCCTTTGGGCTGTCATTTTGCAAGTAGTTTTGGTTGAGTGGTTTTGTTTGTTTGTTTGTTTGTTTTTCCATGGCAGCGCTGATTATTGAGGTTCCTACCTGTGGTAACCCTCAGGGTGTTCTATTAGGTGTTCTATTAGGTGGTGCAGTGATTTCAGCCTGAGGAGTTACTGTCACTGTCGCCTCCGCTGTCCAAGTATTCTATTATGTTTGCCTTGTGCAATAAAAGATTGTTTGCAGGAAGGGATAGTTTTCATCCCTGTTCAGCATGGTCCTGAGAACCAATTTCTTGACTTAAAGATGTGGATGTGCTACAGGGGAGCAAGTGAATGGTTGTGCCTACACCCTTCCTCCAAAGGGCTAATAAAACTTTTACTGAATGTATTCAGAACATGGTCCGACAAAATAAGTTCATCAGCCCCTTGGAAGTCCCTGTTGTTTGGAGGGGGGAGGTTGGGAGAGCAAGAACCTCATGAAGTGTCCTTCCTAACATGGAACTGTCCCCATCTTTACTTTGTGCTCTTCTGCTGCAACATGTGGCTGGGTTAATATTCTCATGGACTTTTCATGGCACTTAACAAAGCCTTTTTTACAACACCTTTTTGTGAAAAGTAGCTAGTGCATCACATTTTCAAATGAAGAGCTGGCATTTTAATCACATGTCATATTGCCTAGTTAGGTGGGATGTCTACTTGAACATTGGAGGTTGGTGCTCTTCTGCTCTGCATTTTCTGATCTGTCCTCACTGTTTTCCCAACACCTTTTGAGTTCATTGCTTGGTTTGCTCCACTGAAGGAAAAACTGAGGGCTGTCCCAGCTTGAAGGGAAGGCTTTAAGAAATGCTGTGCTATTAGACACCAGAGACTCCACACAAGAGTCTATAAAGGCAGAAAGCATGGGAGAAGCACATTTGAGAGCTGAAGTGACCAAACCGTAGGAAATGAAGCTTCCTTAGCTGCAGTGCCCACAGAACTGTTTCCTTCCAGAGGTGCTGTGTTTGTTCTCCATGAGTTGGGTGCTCAGCAAAGAAATTTGCTTGCATCCCTCCCGGAGTATCTGCAGAGAAGGAAGGGGGAATGACTTTTGAGTTCATTGCCGAGCGACTTGTCTTCAAGTCCAAAAGATTTAGAAGTATGAGAATTCTGGCTGTATGTACCAGTTCTTATGTCTTTCACTCTATTAGGTGAAGTAGGAGACTTACCTTTTAGCTTGTGAGGTTGTTTTTTTTGTTGTTTTGTTGTTTTGGTTTGGTGTTGTTTTTTTTTTGTTTGTTTGTTTTTTCAAGGGTGTTACTATCATTACAGTGCATTTAGTAATGAACAAGCACAGGGACACAGACTTCAAAACACCCTCTCTGGTGTAGTAACTTTGATCCAGCCCTCTCAAATGGGTGCTGTTTGATATAATGTAAGCTCAGTCACTCATACTGAAAGAGACACTTGGGTTTTTAGACCCATCTGTACAAAACAACTCCACGGGGCATCTTCATATTGTAAAAGTTAAAAGCTCATGGGGACATAATAATACACAGAAGTGGGGTTTGGTCCAAGATGAAAATTACTGAGGCATAAAGGTTGAAAAATTTGCCAAGATATCGGCAGTGGTTGTGCAACACTAGAAGTCTGACAGTACTGGAATGTGTGGAGTGTGTCTGGGGTTTTTTTCTTAATAAATTAACAGCTTTGGGGGAATTTAAAAAAAAAAAAAAGCAGGTATGACAGTCATGTCTATAGTTCTGGTGAACAAATTCCGAGATATTTTATACTGTGTTTCAGAAGTACTGGAACTGGATTGGATATCGTGCATCATTTTGGTTTGTTAAGGAAAATATGTAGCAGTTTGTCTGGTGACTTGTTTTTCTTTTGTTTCTTTCCTTTCCTAAATTGTTGGAAACAGCAGCTATTCGTGAGTTCTCTATGGAGGATGCAATGACCATGACTGAAGTCAGAGCTGCAGGACTGGGTTTTAGAGTGGAAAGGGGAAGGGAAGAGATGAGATCATTATATGAAATGCTCTTATGCATTCTCTTTGTTTTTCAGTGGATGAATATATTGCCATTGCTAAAGAGAAGCATGGATACAACATGGAGCAGGTAACAACCCTATGAATACTTCAAATTTATTTCAGCAGATATTAAAACATGACTTAAAATGACTGCTTAGAACTGCTTGTTCCCTTCTGTCCTGTTTGTGTTTTCTCCCCTCCTACTTCTCCCAAAGTGTACTATTCATAATAGTAACCTGTGTTCTGGGAATATGGAGTTCACATCTAGTTTCACATCAAGAGTCAGAAGAGGAAAAACAAAAGCATTGTGATTTTTAACAGTTTGGCCATGAGTATTATGCTTTTTGTGGTGACTACCTCTTGAACACTTTTGGAACCCCTCAACAACATTAAAAAGATTGACTTGTCTTTGGAGAGCTTTCTGATTGCATTGAAGTTTCCAGTTGACTGCTCCACCTCTGCTTCATGGATGTCTTGGCAGTTATTAATGAGCTATTGAACCATCATATGCTTTTCTGAGGCAAACCAATATCCAGCGTTATTTACCTTAAAACTGTGCTGCAAATCGTTTTGCATTTCTTCGATGCGCAGCTCAGATGTCAGTGTGGTGGTGGACGGCTTCACCAGCTGTCTCTGAGGGTAACCTAACATTTAGGCTAGGAGTGGGAAACCTGGTCTGAGCAGCAGATCTCTCCTTTACTCCCTGTGGTTTAGGATTGTGTACAAATCTTCCCTGTCTTAACTAACATTGATTTCAACATGAATCTGGGGAGATGAGTAGACTTATGCCTGGGAAGCTTTTCTGAATTCTGTTGAGTTCCTTATACACTAATAATTGTCTGGAAAGGGAAGGCGGAGAACCTCATTACTTGCTGTATTGCCAAATTAGTACTGTCTCTGCAGAAGGATTCTGTGAAAACTTGATAGTTCATGAAATTGTTCAGGCAAAAGCTATCAGCATAGAAACCAATTATTTGGATGTACAAGGATTTCTATTTAAATGGCTCTGCTGTCATCTTTGAGGTAGACTGTCAGTGGTTGATACTCATGATCAAAGAGATTTCTTGTGGAGAAAGAACATGGAAGTTGAGATAGCCAGCAAAATTTCTGGCAAAACCAGGAATTATCAGACTTGGTAATTACAGTTTCTAAGAGCAGAAAAGAGCAGTAAAAGGAACAGAAATGCACCAAAAGGCTGTGAACTCCAATGAAAATGAGCAGGGTAGCTTACTTCAGTTGAAATGAATAAATCATAGTATTGGATATTTTGGGTAATATTTGCCAAAAGAGATTGTCTTGGAGTAATAAAAACAGGTTTCATTATTTTAGTGGAGATTATTTGTTTGGAGAGTATAGACTTATCTGGAAGATCCATCAAAATGAAGCTTGCAATTTAAAAATACCACTGAATTGTTCTATTTTGAGAAACTTAAATTTTACTATCAGAGGTATGCATTCATTTTTACATTGGAAATACAGACCTTCCACCCATGCCTTGAAGTCTTTCTTCCCATTTTTCTCCCCTCCTCTGTGTACAGAAGTTAAGGGACTGAGCCACCAGGTTGTAGAGTGGCTGAGCAACTTGTAAAAATGGTCCTCTTTCTAAAAATTTTCTCATTTCTTCCTTAGTGCTCTCACATAATACTCTGGAATTAAACACGTTTCTGAGGTCCTTTGGGATTTCCTAGGCAGCTATGCTAGGCACTTCCAGAAAACAGCGGGAGAGGATCTATCTTGTATTGTTCCAGAAGGCACGTACTCATTTTGTATTATAGGGACAAGTGTCAAGGCTTGAAAATCAGAATGATTTGTTGTGTCACCAAGGGACACTCTTCAGCAGGTATCATTGGAGTTGCTGTTGGCTTTGTAACTGCAGACAAGCTAGTACAGACTCCCTGGAAGCCAGTCAGAGCTTGCCTTAGTATTTGGCCACTGTCTCTGGGCTTTGCTGGCCAAGACAGCCCTTTCCCATGCGTGCATCCCTCTGATAGCCTGTCTCTTTGGACCTCTGTGCAGGTGGCTTGGCTGACAGTCATCACACAGAGATTTCTGTTCTTCCCTCTGTGCCCCCTTCCCAAAAGCCACCTTTGCACCCTAAGACTTGCCGGTTTGTTGAAGGGAGTGGTGAGCTGTTAGACAGGGCAGCTGGGGCAAGCACCAGCCCTTCTCTGCCCAGCAGCTTTCCTATCCAGCTGGCTGCATTTGTGTTACGTGCAGCTCCCAGATTTGTCTTTTTTCTCCCTTTGCCTGTGGCCAGGTGCCCCATTGTTGGCTCCTCTGCTGTCAGATGATGGCTGGAGGATCAGGGCTGTGCTGCTGGGAGTCCCTGCAGCCTTGCCAGCTTGAGGTCAGACAAAGGGCAGGCTCCAGCAGGCGAGTGAGCTCTGGCAGGGCAAGCCCATTTCAGCTGGTGTAGTCAAACTGTGGTACATGGTTGTGCTGAGATGTAGCAGTCACGTGCTTGTGGGGCTGTGAGCTGTACTCTCCTACTAGCCTGTGTCAGATGCCCCAAAACAAAGGAGGCTGGAGTAGCTGTGCACTCACCTATATATGAGTGCAGAGCTGTCCTAGGAAAGCATGGGGTGGAGGAGGAATACCCTTCTGCTGTTAAATAAGCCTGTAAAGAAAATTATTTGGTTTACCTTTTGCTTTGTATAAGCAGCTGTCCCCTCAGCCCTTGATAGCACCTTAATGCTATTTAACACTATCCTGCCCTTCCGAACCATCTCCCTCATTGTTTTTTCCTTGCTTTCTCACGGGGATATTTGGGTATAGCTCATATCTGAAGCTGAAAGGGATGGCAGGGGAGAGAAAACTTGGTCCTTTGTGACTTCAGAATAGTTTGTTAGGTTCCATGTTTGCCAGAGTGGATGGCTGTGTGGCTCCTTTGACATCTTGAGTCACTGTGCTGCAACCAAGATTACTCGTTCTGTGTGGTGGCAAAAGGGAGGAGAGGGTGCCTGTGTGGCACCGAGAAGCCAGTAGGGTCAGGACACGATCTTGGATAGCACTAATATTCATCTGCATACTCTCTGCAGAATCTCAGGGGAGCAACATCCCATAAAGGAACTAGTTTTTTGCATAGCAAAGCATAATGGGGAAACCCTGAATGTGGAGGGATTTTGTAGCTCTGAGCAGTCTGGGTGAAACTGCTAGATGAGGGTAACTGTGGCTGTGAAACCTGAGCTGAGTTTGCATATGACAAGCAGGTTACTCAGATGTTTTACTCAGCATGTTAGGGATTGTTTTTACTTTACAGCCATTGCGAAAGGCTGGTTTCCAGTGCTGTAGAGTCGGCCTTCCCAGAATGACTTGTAGCAGTCACTGGCATGCCAGATGTAGTGATGTGTCATATACACACAGGGGCTGCACACCCCTGGGAGAGGGGTGGCTGTGAGTGAGCATCTTGGAGATGTCAGGAGGATGGTGGTGAAGGTGGTGAGGTGCAGCACATGATCTTTGTCTTTGGAACTGAGAAGCTGAGACTGCACAGTGAAATGAGATGTCTCTCAAGGGAAAAAATGAGCAGCTCCAAAATGAGGGAGATTTGATCCTCCTTTGGGGCTAAGGACATCTTAGCAGCAAGCCAAGGTTGTTCATGCTCTGTGCCTTTCCTTCTTCCAATTCTTCCCTCATCCTCTCCCCTTTTTCCCTGTCCTCAGAAGAAGCACCCAAAAGAACCATAAAAACCAGTCAACTAAACTATCCTCCTAATTGCACAAGAAAGTAAGGGAGTTTAGCACTGGCAAGAAGCTTCCTTTGGTCTGGCATGTTTTTTAGGTAATCTTCTGAAGTCTTTGTTTAGCTTTCCTATGCATAACGTGATCAGTAAAGTTGGAGTAATTTCTTAAATTTTCTTCTCCCACTTTCTGTTACTACTCTCCTGCTACATTACTAGCTTTGTGATTTGTCATTACAACCTAGTGGGGTGGGGATCAGATTCCAAATTTCTTGCACACAGGAAAGTGTGTACTGTAGCTGGGAATTGAAATTATGTTTAACTTGTTGGCCAAGAACAATGCTGTAGCTCTCCCTTTGCATGTATATAATAATGTTTCTTGTGATTACAATTGTCCCCTTGGTGTCCTTTTTATTTCTAGGCCCTTGGGATGCTGTTCTGGCACAAGCACAACATTGAAAAGTCTTTGGCAGATCTGCCAAATTTTACTCCATTCCCAGATGAGTGGACAGTGGAAGACAAGGTCTTGTTTGAACAGGCCTTCAGTTTCCATGGGAAAACCTTTCACAGGATCCAGCAGATGGTAAGTGGTGTCACAGGAAAGGAAAAGCAGAACCAGGTGTTGGATTGTCGTCTTCAGTGCTGATTGTGCTGGACTCCTGTCCAGTGCTCTTGGGAGAGAGCAGGCCAAAGAGTATGTTAGAGGAAAAACATTACCATGAACAGACACAAACTGCATTGTTTCCAGAGTTTTTGTAGAAGTATTTTCCTGGAGTGCTTTACTGGTTCAGGATAAACTGGGACTGCAGTTTTTTTGTTGGCAATCACAGTTTTCAGCCCCCTGTGTGCTATGGTAGTATTTATGTCTCAGCTGGAATTCAGGCATGGTCTATACAAATGTGCCTACCCACCTACAGAATAAAGATCACCTCTGCACAAAGCTGAGTTCCTTTCTTACAACCTGCTTTTTAGGAATTCATGTTATTTGAGTGAAGTCTGTGCTTAATGTGATTTGGGACTGTCAGTGAATGCTGTGGTGGAGGTTTATACATCATTTCAAGCATTCAGTCCTTTGCTTTTGGTAGGTATTGAGGTATTGATATTTTTTAAACTGTGATTAAAAACTTCAAGGGTAAGTTTCTGCCTGAACGGGAACTGTTGGGATGTGTGCAGTTTTATTTCAAAGGAAGGAGAGGATGGGATGTATAATTTATTTAATTATGTCTTGAGAGTTTCTTAGTGGTTCATCACCGTGGTGAGATTTCTTTGCTCTCCTTTAGTAAAATGCCTCTTGAGTGTTCCATCAGGACCTGGTTTTGTTGGTTGTGACCCTTTGAAGTGAGCCTAAGCTGTTGCAGTCTGCTCAGCCTCTTTAAAGTACATGTGAAAGTCTGTGCTGCTGATGCTGCTGAGAAGTGAAAGGTGACTTGCCTCCCAAGTATGAAGGAAAACTGCCAAGTCCTTTTCAAAAGCTGGCAGGAAGAGGCTCATTCCCCTCCTGTCCTGCTTGAATGTTCCTTCACTGGCTTAGTTTCCAAATGTGGAGTCCTAGGGTCTCCCAGTCCCTTGGGTCAGATGTCAGGGCTTGCACATACTATGAACAGCTGACATAGTCTAGAGAGTTTTGGACTCGTGAAGGGTAAAGCTGTTTTCTTCGTTATTCTTCTGTTCTCACATAGAGGAAAAAAGAAGGGGAGGGAAATGTCTGGGGGGGAAAAAAAAAGAACTTAAAGTCCATCCTGTTGATTGGGTAGATGCCCAAGCAAGAATCTCTCAATTCACTTTGTGTGCAGAAGTATGACTGTGTCCCTGAATGAAGTGCATTCCAATACAGAGATGCCAAGCTCATGCACTATTCTCTAGGTAATGGTATTTTTTTACTGTTGCTCCCAGAAAAGCCATCCTGCATGAAAGGAATTAAACGGCCTGAAGCTTTGTGTTTAGCAGGAGGGATCAGTGGCTCTGGAGCACGCTAGTTGTTAGTTTATAAATGCTGCCCCATTAGCACTGGTGCAGCTTGGAACTGAGGGGAAAAATCATCAAAGCCAGAGAATGAAAAGTGAGTTCCATTATTTACCAGAGCTGTTTCTGATATTTTGGCATTCTTGGCATGTGTTTGTAGCTGAGTGAATGTTTGTCATGGACAGCCTCATCCCTGAGTTTGTTCTGTGGAACTCTTCATTCCAACGTACCAGCCCACTGCGTGGCTTTTGGCAACACCAGGTGGGCATAGCCCCTGTGCTTTGCCAGCCCAGAGGAGTTATGCCTGCATGCAGCTGTGGGCCAGGGTGGTAGTTCTGGTACCATCCATTATGAGGACCTAAAGTCAACCTTCAGTCTGAGAACCGGGTTTATCTCAAGTGTAGACTTAAGTTGTGGCATATGAATAAGAGAGATCTGGCTCTTGCTTAGTTTTGTTTTCCTCCCCACTTATCTGAAGCATGTTTTATTCAGTGAGAAGGGTTGAACTTTTACCCTGTAGAAGTCCTGTGTAAGAACATCCTTGCAGAGTACCTCAGAAGTAGAGGATGTGTCTAAATTATAGTTCTGTGATTTTTTTGGATGCAGACTTTCATAGCTACAGGGCAATTACTTTAGTGTAAGAGAACAAAAAAAAAATTAGATCCAAGACTTCTGTTTTCTTATATCCTCAGTTCACCATATGGTAACATTTCACCTTTTGAAAACATCTTCTGTTAAGACCTTTGAATAGACTTCATCATGGGAATGGTGTGTATAAGCCTTTTTAACTAAACATCAAATATATGCTTGGGATGTAGCCCACAATTCAGCAGTTCTTGTGTTTGCTTACCCATGCCTGTGTTGGCTTTTAAAACTGTTATCTCCATTTCAAGGCCCCATTTTGGATTTGCTTTTGCTATTTTATTTCTTTCTGAAGGAAACAAGCTACCCGGATGGTCAGTGGAGGCTTGTTGAGATGCTCTTTAGAAATTTTATTGTCCTAAATAGTAAGCACTAATCTAAAAACACTCCCCCACAGGTAATTTTTGGAAAGGCTGCAGAACTGCCTTGCTTGAGCCTTTGAGAGAATCCAGTGTAGCGAGATTCGATGTTTCTTGGCAAAACCAGACTGATTTTATGTGAACTCCTGGGAGTACTTTACATATAAACATATAAAAGGATACATGTTTTATTTGCAGCTTCCTGACAAATCAATAGCCAGCCTGGTGAAATTTTACTACTCTTGGAAGAAGACAAGGACTAAAACTAGTGTGATGGACCGTCATGCTCGTAAACAGAAAAGGGAACGTGAGGAAAGGTAGGTTTGCAATCAGAAAGGCTGTGTATTGACACACACTGATTTCTTTAGACTGTCTCAGAAATTCCTGCTAGACTGTAAGAAACTAGATATAGGATTTTCCCCAGAGTGTTTCCTGGTACCACACCTTCTTTCCCCACCCCTCTTCTCTGCTGTGCATGTTTTGCTTTGCTTAAAACCAAAAGGAATTTGTCTTCAGTTAATGCACTCCCTTTTTCAACACTGCAGTTCCTGATTGTCCTCTAGTGTAGTGGTCACTGTCCCATCACTCTCAAAAGCTCTTTCTCTGATACTGCTTGCAGGTGGAGAAAATGAAATTAAAACTGTTCACAAGCTGATTGGCACTGTTGTCAGCAAAGCCAGAAAAGCTGATAAGCAGGGCAGTAAAGGGAAGTAATGAAAGAGCTTGAAATCTGCCTTTATGTCCTCCATGTGAGTGAGAGAGGACCTGATGGGGAACAGGCTCCAGTGCAGCACCTGTTGGCCTGTGTGCAGACCAGACCCTTCCCCTGCCTTTTACTTAGAAAACTGTTACTGGTATAAGGCTGGCAGGCAATGCTCTATTCCCTGAGAAAGATGAAGTTCAGGCTGTGTTTTTCAGTGACTGGGAAGGAGGGTAGTACAGGGGAACTTAGGATGAGTTCTCTGGCAGAGGTGTCCCAAGGAGTGCTGGATGCATTAGGATTTGACTGAGGGTGGTGGTGTTTAAGAGGTTACTAGCCACTGAGCTTCAGCAGACAAGCTTGATTCCTTCTTGTGTAGCTTTGTCTGCAAGCTCACCCTCCTGGATACCCATGCAAGCCCTTGAAGGTAGGTCAGCTAGTGGCCCTGTGTGTATTGCTAGAAGTGTCTGCGCAGTTAGAACTGCCACTTTGTGACTTTGCCTAGTTCTGGAGCTGACAGACCCTCAGAAATGCCGTGGTCTTAGGTGTGTGTGAGGAAAAAAAGCCCCTCTGAACAGTAACAACTCCATCTGCTTGACACAAGTGCCTTCTCAACCTGTTTTAAAGTGCACTTAATGTCTTTGCAGGCCAAACTTGAGGTTTGTCTGGCTTTGTAAGACTCCTAGTGTAATTGAGCAAAATTCTGCAAAAGTTTTTCCCTCAAAGGAGTTGCTGTAGCACTTCCCAGGGAGCTGTTTGCTGGCTTCAATGCATATAGCTGAGCCCTGTTTGGGAAAGGGGGAGAAATGTGTTTGCAGGGTTGAACTGTACTGCAGTAGTGACTCACTCAACCTCTCCCATCTCTCCATTTGGTCAACAATACTTGCTTAATAGGCAGGGCCAGGGAGAATACTACAAGCAAACTTGTCCAGTATTTCGTTGACTTTCTCTGCCCTAGGACTCTTTTTCCATCCTGTTCTTTTCCCTTCTCTGCAAGCAAAGGCTGTCTTGATTTTTTTTTTTTTTTCTCTCCTTATCTTGCCTGTGTTTTTTAAATTTTCCTACTCATTTATAAGGTGGGAAAAAAAAACACTTACAAGGAGTATGTGTTAATCTCATATAGTATAGGATCTTTTAATACTACCTCTCTTTTTTTGTTCTGTGCTCATAAATGAAATTACTGGAATTCAGAAATTCACTTCTCTCATACCTATGTCTTTTTGCTGGGAAAAGGAACACATCAGACCATCTGGTGATTGGGAAAGAACTGTATGGGGCTGCCATGTGCTGTAATTTTGTAACCTTTGAGGAAAGCAGCTGGACTATAAATGTGTAATTTGGTTTACTTCTGTAGCAAACTAAGCACCAGGCCATCAGCTTGATGTTTGATTTCTCTTCTTCTCCTCCATTATGTAAAATAGTCAAACCCCTACAGCCCTGAACAGTTTGTCAGTGCAGCCATGCAAGGTGTGGAAGCAAAGCTGAGTGAGTTTGGGGTGCCTGAATTTTGAGGTTGTACTTTGCCATTGGATGTTGGCAAAACTTCAGAAATGGTCTTTAGTTAATAGTGATCATTGTCTAAAACTGCATAAATGCGTGGGTGGGTTTCAGTCTAGCTCATGTCTACGGGACTTGCTGGAATAGAATAGCAAATGATGAGCACAAGCAAAGTTCTTGGGGATTTGGCCTTTGCAGAAGGGCTGAAATCTGAACCTCAGTGAGAACACAAGGAAGTTCTTCTGGAGATGGGGTTAAGAGAAGAGGCAGTCTGAGGCATCTCACTCTAATACTGCTGTATCTTTTCTGTGGCTAGGTAGGGAAATTCCCCAACCCCTCAGATTGTCACTGAAATAGCTCACAGTGCATTTGAGACCAGATTTTTAGTAGCTGTTCTCAGCTGTATACAAGGGGCTTTGTGTGTGCAGCTCTGAGGGGAGCTGCTTGTGAGAGTATTCCCTGGAATTGGGATTACACAAACTAAGTATCTGTGAATGAGCTGGTGAGCTATGCAGGTTGGGATAGCAGAAATAGCTTGTACAAGTGCCTGCTGTTGTGAAGATGGATGCAAGGTCAAGACACCCAGCAGCACGTTCCTCCTTAGGCTGTGTCTGCAGCAGGGAGACAACTGTGAGCCAGTACCCCAGCTGTGCTCACTGGCACCTCAGCGCAGCTTCTGCTGGGCTTTCTCTGCACAGCCCTGTAGTGTGCTGGCCTTGCCATGTACCTGCACCAGATGAAGTTCCTCATCCCAGGCCGTAAAGTTTGACATGACAAAATAGTTTGTTGTTTTGTAGTTGGTTTTGTTTTTTTTAAAGGCAAAGCTTTGATTGGGTCAGCTTATTTCTTCCCTTTCCGGGCATTGTCCCAAATGGTGCAGTTAACTTTAGTGGTGTACAGTACAAAAATTCTAAATGGTGAAAATATATTTGGTTTAATGTCTGATTAAAATTCCAATGAAGCCAAACTCACCATGTGTGTCAAGGTCACTTAACATAGGGCCCCAATTTCATGCCTATTATTATTCTGTAAGTGGTAAACTCTTTCTTTTTGAGGGGAAAAATGAAATATGAGGCTGTCACTGAAAAAAATAAAACACCCACGAGTTTTTATGCTTATTCTTGAGGAAGTTCATCTTATGCATGTCTATTTTTCTAACTGTTAAGGAGTTGTAGGAAATTCATGTGTTAGCTGCTTGCTGTAGTTCCAAGTCTCTGTTTCTGTCTTGGTTTGCCTAAAGTTGAAATTCTCAGTATCCCATATTTTTTTAAAGAGAAGCTGTATAATCAACATAACTCATGTAATCAATTTCGTGTACTTTGCCTTCATCTGAGCACACTTATTTTGCCTAAATACACTACTGAGAAGTCTTCCTTTACAAAACGTTGTCCTTAGTATCTTTACAATTAAGACTTTCCTAACTTAAACAAAAAAAGCAAGCCAAAACAAAAAAACCATACTGCCTGACCTCCCTAAAAAATAATACCCTGGGAATAAAACTAAGGAAAGCTATTGGTCTTGCTTTTGCATCCATACATTTCTTGTGGCATGCTATGTACAAAAAAAGAGAGCCTCACTAATACAGAACTGTTTGCTTTTGTCTTCCAGTGAGGATGAAATGGAGGAAGCAAATGGAAATAACCCTATTGATATTGAAGTTGAACAAAACAAGGAGAGCAAAAAGGAGGTACAATTATTTTCTTACTACTGTACAAATGAAAGTGTTTACTTACTAGCTCCTTCACACAGAAGCTGACAGTATCTAATTTTCTCTATTTGTGCTTTGTATAGTTGTCATACCAAAAAAGAATTGTCTTCAGAATTATTCTTAGATCAAGACAATGATAGACAATTAAGTTGTTATGGATGGAGTGGGGAGAATTCAAGACTTTACCATCCCATGATAATGTACTGAGTTTTTAGCCTGTTTGATTCTCTCTTTGGTTATGTTGGCTTGAATCACCTTCAGTGATGATTGAAACCCATCTCACTGCATGGAGATGGAGTAGAAGCAACCTCCAAACTGGAAGGGGTCACTTGACTAAGTTGCAGCTGTGTGCTGCAGCTCTCCAGTGTGTCTTGTAAATAATTACTATCATCTCATAAGTACTTATTATTATTTATCATCTTGCTACCCATTATTTTAATCAAATTTCAAGCTTCAATTTCTCCATGAGGTCTTTGAAAGCTTGCATCCCTTCAATCCCTTTTATTATTGATTCCTCCCATACTTGCTGCAGAAGAGGGAAACGTAGTTCTTGGCCAACTTGGCTGCCTCTGTAGTAAGGCCAAATCGGAGCAGATGGATGATAGCTACCATCAAGACATGTTTGTAGAAAGTCTTGTATGGGAGGAGACTTCCTGCCATCCCTGACACACTTATACAGGTCATGGCACACTAACCCATCTGGAAGAGATGGCCAGAATTCATGGAAAGAGCCTGTGCAGTCTGTGTGTGCAGTGGCAGGCAGCCCTGTGGGACCTGTTCTGGACAGGAATTGTACTGGTGGGTAAAATGGAGCTGACAACCTGCGTAACCTATTTGGAGTTAATTTGGAGTTAATTTGATTTGATTTTGCAGTACCTGAGCCTGGGGCTGATGGAAAATGCCTTGAGAGAGAGAGCAGGTGTCCTGGAGGGGGATAAGTTCTTTCTTGATTGTTATGTTTCTTTTAATGATGTGGTCAGATTTGATGGGCTGGTGACGTACCACCAGCCCAGGACTTACGGTAAAAAACCTCCCTGTCCCAACCACACAGATATGGGGTTTTTTTCGGCTCTGGGGCATGTCAGTTACTGTATGACTTGCCAAGTAATACAGGGATTTCTCAGAGTATCTGAAATCTCTCATCTGTTTCCTCTTTTGGGAAATCATTGGAGGGGGAATCTTCCTTTTTTTTGTGTGTTTTTGTTGTTGTTCTTTCAGTGTGAATGCAACTGTTCAGGTTTCCTCAGATAGTGCCTCCACTGAGGTAATGAACTAGAGCTGCTTTCTCCACATCTACCCTGTTCCTGGAAATGCCTCCCATTTCATCCTTGCCTTTTACATGAGATAGCCTGGTATTTTTATTTTTACACAGTGAAGTCTGAGGTAGGGAGCCTTGTTTGTGTTGAGGGGTTTGCAAGACTGAGGTGCTCTGGATAGCAGTGGCAATATCTAAACAGAGAATCACTGCTAAATTATTGCATTTTAGTTCTCTCTAGTTTTCATGAATTGATTTAATTCTAGGAAGAAATGTGGCCAGAAAACCAAGAGTTTCCAAGATAGGTTAGACATTCAGATATTCAGAATCTGCACAATATCAACAAGGCCTAGAGGCGTTTGGAGCTGTCAAAAACTATTCTGCTGGAGATCTTGCTGCTTGTCCCCAATGGAAGAGAACTTCACAGTCTTTGAACTGTGTAAAATAATAAATTGAAACTATTTTCATTTTTTCTTAATGTTGAGGCACTGCAGGCATTGTGTTGGTCAACCTGCAGCCTGAACCTTTTGTGAGGCATTACTGCACAATCCTGTGAAATTCTGGATGTAGATAAAATATGATTTAAGTCTGAAATGTATATCCATGTTGAATAATTAAAAAAAAACACAACCCATAAACCAGCTCAGTTATCAAAGTGCTCACTTGCGAAGCAGAGTGTAGAGCTTACCTCACTTGTTCATAGCTAAACCAGTCTTGTTTTTTCTGCTTATCACTCCCTTCTGCCAAAAGAAATGGGATATCCCTCCTGCAGCAGCAATAGTTATCTTGCACCTGGGCTTGCCTTAGGCATCATCGCTCATGCAGTCCTTTGCACTAAAGAAGGGAAGAAAAAGGCTCAGAAAAGGCAGTTGTCCACTTCACTGCTCCTATGTGACTCTAGCCATTCAGCCCTTGAAGAGGCTGCAAGGTCTTATCTGCTGGCAACAGTGCTGGGATCCTCCAGTCCTCAGGAGGCAGAGCCTTATGCTTATGTGGGGCTTTGTGCTCAGTTCCCTGTGGGTTTGACTGCCTTTTCATGCTCACTAATGAACAAACGCCACAAACTGTGTGGCAATTACATGTAGCTACAAATTAGGAGAGAAACAATAGTACTAAGTGAAGCCAATGTGTTTAAAGCTGGCACTGGTCACGTAGAGGTTTCCAGATGTGCAGCTTCCCCCCTCTGCTTTTTCTTTCCTCACAACCCTTCTGTTCTGCGTTCTTGGCCAGGCTCCAGCCACTGAGTAATGACTCCTGGGTATGAGTTTCTTGTTGAAAATGATTCTGGAAGAAATGGCTTTGGAATTTGAGAATCAGATGTGCTCTTGGAGGATCCGTAGTATAGTGTCCTAGCTAATCTACCTGTTAGAGGTGTGTGCATAATTCTTTGCTTTAGACAGGAGGCATTAAAATAATGAGTAGTGTGTGAAATATTTCATTTTCCATAAGAGACGTAAATCTTATTTGTGGGTAAAACTGCATCAGTGTAATGAAAGAGCTGATATATCAGTGCTATGCAAGAGAACTTAGCTTCTAAGAAACTGTAATGATCTAAGAATTACTTTGTAGTTGTCTTGCTCAAATATCCCTAGCCTTTAAATCAATTTGTTTTATTCCTTCTCCTGTCTGACATGGAAAAACAAGTCTCTGTAAACTCTTCTAGTTGTGTTATTCCCTGGCTCCAAACTCCACTTTGTTTTCTCCTATGGTGTTCAGTAAGATTAGTATGTTCAGACCTGGAGATGAAAGCAAGAAGCAAGGTTTCAGAATGTTTGAAAATAACTAGAATATTTAACTGGCATCTGTGTCCCAAAATGAGAGTGGGCAGAGAAGACAACCAGTGTTTCTGGAAACATTGAAAGCTGCCTAAAAGAAGGACAGATTTGTGTAAGACAGTGTTTGTATGACATAACACTTAAAGCAAAAGATGTCTTCCTGTCTGCAAGATAGCTGTTTAATTTTCCAATCTTTGATGATGGCTAAAAGTCATAGAATCACAGAAGGGTTTAAGTTGGAAGATCAGCTAGTTTTGTAAAATGACTACTGTTTGCCAGGTGCCGCCCGCTGAAGCCGTTCCTCAAGTGAAGAAGGAAAAGCACAGTACACAGGCCAAGAACAGGGCAAAGAGGAAACCTCCCAAAGGAATGTTCCTTTCCCAAGAAGATGTGGAAGCTGTTTCTGCCAATGCGACAGCTGCTACCACTGTGCTCAGACAACTGGACATGGAATTAGTCTCAATCAAACGACAGGTATGGATGGGATAGTTCATCTACTATTTTTGATGGCAATGCCTGTCACAGTTTGCGAAGTTCATAGGAATTTGTAGCTTTACAAAGCCACATCATTGTGGCTTCATTGACAAACTGCTAGAAACTAATGCGATCCTGTGTTTTATGTCTTTTATTTTGGACAAGCCTACTTTAGACCTAATGTGAAGCAAGAAAAACTCCATAGCCCTGACGTTTGTTATTGCTTAGGTTCTTGCAGTTGAGAATTCCCTATGTTTTAACTATTAACTTCCCTCAGAAGACATTGGTTTCAGCAGTATCTGATTTCCATCTGGAGCAGTCAGTTCCCTTTGCCTTTTCCTGCTTTACTTTTGGAACAGGCAGATTGTTTGTTTTATTCTTTCTTAGGCACCATACAAACTTTCCTCTGTACCTTTTGTTTCCCTTATGGACCTGCCTTTTAAACAAATGTTTTTCAGAGTTCTGGGAGTAAGGACAGCTTTACTACATGACTTTGTTTCCTAGATCTGAACATTTTCACTGTTTTTAAAGCAGAGATCTGGCTCTTTATTGAGCTTAATGGAATTGGTATTTTGGCCTGAAGCCTTTTTCTTGCTTCTCTGGGAGAAATGGAGCTCTCTAGCAGTCTTTGATTAATTGCTTGCTGTGAACAGGGCCTTTCTTCTTATATTGGGCTTTATACAGACCTGGAAGTTGGGGCAGTTCTTGCTCCAAATAACTTGCAGAGATGATAGAATAAATGAAGTGAGATCTCCTGATGTGCCAGCTGCTCGTGCATGCCTTTATTCCAATATAACAAACTTTCTATTTGGAAAATGGTGGTCTTGAGGAAAACTGGAATGCTGAGGTTGTGGGGTTCCTGCTGGGGCTGCTGGAAGAAAGCTTGTCCAAAGATTTATTTTTTTTAGTCCTTATTAAAGGGATGAAACTTTCTTTTCAGATTCAGAATATCAAGCAGACAAACAGCGCGCTCAAAGAAAAACTTGAAGGTGGTATAGAACAATACAGACTTCCAGAGGTAGGATAATTTTTTGACCCTTGTTTATTGTGGAGACAAATGCTAATCTGTGTTTACATACCAGGGTTATTTGTTTTGCCAGTAAACTTGGACCAGTGTCCTGTTAATTGTCAGTGTGAATCAAGACCTTTACCATATTCACTGTTGTTGTGTAATGGAAATGGGAGATGAGAAGGAAGTAAGAGCAGTGTTTAACATGTGGAAGTAGTTTGTAACAGAAGTACACGTATCTGAGGTGTACCATGTTTTGTCAGTGCTGTATCCATATGCCCTTGAGAGAGAGCTAGTTCCTCTGCTCTAAATACCGAGAAATGCAGGAGAGGATGTTGATGGCACATCTTTCTCTTGCCACGTGGTGCTTTTTCCCTTTTCCAATCCAACTCTGGCACCTCATGCTGGAAATAATTTGACCACGATTACAGAGGGTGTCTGTGATAAAAACAAGTAGGTGCTTTGGAAGAGCGTGGCTCTTGGTTATCTGCTTGGACCATTCCATGGCTTTTTGTATTACCGTGACTTGCAGACACTGTGTGTCACAGTGAACTGAATGGATGCCAGATGCAGTCCTTCATGCTACTAAAAGGAATTATATGGTTTGACTAGCAGTTAATTCCTTGTTGTGTTTCTTTGAGGTTTTTTTATGAGCTCAGATAAAAGTGAAAGTTGTTGCTTATGTAAATGAAGTTACCTATTATTTTTTTGTGTGTCTAGGTTGTTCAGAAATTTAATGCACGTTGGACCACAGATGAGCAGCTTCTTGCTGTGCAAGGTATGGCAGTACAAGTCTCTTTGTAGTTCAGGTGGTGATAAACAAGACTGCAGCCTTTCAGAGCTATTTCCCTTCAGTGGCTAATGAAGGATTTGACATTGCTGAGTACTAATGCCCAAAGAACAGAACTGAACAAGGAAACAATATCCCCCATTCCCCTCCTTGGGCAGTATAAATTCCATCCTAGGAATGTTTGCAAACGATCTCTGCTTGTCTAAGCCTTCAGAAAGTAAAACTCTACTGGAGTCACTGCTATGCTCTTTGCCTGTGTATCTTCTCAAGTAGTACAGGCAAATTTACACAGGTCTTCTAGATTTGGCTCTGCCCATTTTTACTACAGCTTCGCTTTCTTCTCTTCTCCAAAGCTGGGCTGGTCTTAACTTTGTCTCTTGCCCAATGTAGACTACTTTTTTTTTTTTTTTCTCCTGGATTAATCTGAGAAAGGCTTGAAATCTTGATGGAAGTTCAGCTTTGGATCCTTATGCCTGATTTGTGGTCTTTGTGGAAATAACACATATTTTTTTTTTCTATTTGTTGCTTTTAGCAATCAGGAAATATGGCCGAGACTTTCAGGCTATCTCTGACGTGATTGGAAACAAATCTGTGGTGCAAGTGAAAAACTTTTTTGTAAATTACCGACGTCGTTTCAACATAGATGAAGTTCTACAGGAGTGGGAGGCAGAGCATGGCAAAGAGGAGACAAACGGAACCAATAGCCAGAAGCCTGTAAAATCCCCTGATAATTCCACTAAAATGTCCGAAGAGGAAGATGAGGTAAATCCAATTTAAAAGTCACATAAGTTCCCTATCTGAGCTCAGTTCAGATAGGTATGTGTGTGCATAAGTATATACTTTTTGCAAAAGCCATTTTTGACAATCTTCAGTCTGAGCATATTTCACTTCCTCTGGATATACAGATTCCAGTACTGATTTTGGGAACTGGGAATTCCAGACTTACATGAAAGTGGAAAGAGAACAATTAATTTGCAATCCTCTGACAGTATCTGTATCTCATCAGCACATGGACATTTTAATGCCTCTTGCTGCCGAGACCCTATACATCTTTATCTCACTTCGATGGTTTCCCTGCACTCAGTTCTCCAAGCTGGTGTAGGTTTGGCTTTGTGTGACTGTGCAGTCTTCTGAGGCAAAGCTCACTCTTTCATTTTTGACAATGGAGTGGTTTCACCCAGGGGAAGGGAAGAAAGCTATGAACAAGGCAAATGTGTAAAGCTGTTCACTCTGGAATTACTTAGAGGCAAAGTTTCCTTGATTTTTACAGCAGTTTCTGTGAAGACAGATTCTAGAAACAGCCTCTCCTTGATGGAGCTTCACAGAGTTAATGCTTCTCCAAAAACAATGTGTGCTTAAAGTTAACGAAGAGACTGTAGAGTGTTTAAATATGAAAGTTAGTCACAAAAATGCAATATTAACACAGTTTCGCAAAGAAAACCCCACTAGAGGTTTGCATGTTAAAAATGTCTGATCTAGAGGCCCCTTTGGCCTAATTTTATAAGGCAGCTTGGCACAAAAGCTGTATCAATGCAAGCACAGTAAACAGCATAAGGTGAATTTTGGACTCACATGGACTGAAGACTTCTCAGTGTACTGTATATTTTTATTGCCCTGATTATGGTTGGCTCAGTTGTATGTTACCATACAGACATGCAGAGAGCAGAACTTCGTTGCTTCACAAATCCTAATAGTGTGTTAATTAAAGATGCATATATCTGGGGACTACCTCCAAAGGTGTGACAGATGAACAAAACCAAACTAAAAAAACTTGCCTTCTCAGAAAGATGTAAGTGAAATTGTCCCATTCTTCCAGAATTGAGAGACGGAGCAAAGAAACAGTGGTACTATTTCATAGCCACCCATTTGAAAGGCACGGCTCATGTCGCTGCCTTTTCCTGTGGCCAGTAGAGTTGTATCTGTTGGCAGTGCAGAGCTTGTCTTCTCTGAGCCCTCTGAAATTCTTCCTGGCTTCAGAAGCACCATTGCTCTTGAAAGTTATGTTCAAAAAAAGGGAGTCTCGCTCCAGATAGGAAGAAAATGTGTTGGGTTGCAGCAGGAACTGGAGTGTGCTAATGTGGACAATATGGGTACTGGAGCAATGAGGATCCCAGACAAATTAGCAGAGGAGGAGGAGGAGGGACAGTGGATGCATGACAGCAAGGTCTGTTGCAGTGGCTGGTAGAGCAGCAGTTATGAACCCCAGATTAGTGATGGAGATTGGCCAGGCTGGAGCCAACCAAGTGCTGAGTGGTGGAAGGGGGACCAAAGCAACAGACTGGTAGGAAGAGTTGCAGAGCCAAGAGAAGAGGCAGCTATTGCTGGAATCAGGCAGTTCACTGTGCCCTGCAGCACAGTAAGGGGTGAGAACAGAGCCTTCCTGCACCAGGCTGTCATCACAGGCAGGAGCCAGGCAGTGAACTGTCATCAGCCATGACATAGCATGTATATCTTACTCTGGCTCTAGTGGATTGTGGTTCTTGGTGAAACCCATTCTGCACAGTAGGAACTGATGTGTCATGGCTGGGAGGAAGAAGGTGCTGACAGCATGGAGGGGGTTTTTAACTACCAAGCGCGTAGTTTTTTCTAAAACTGCAGGAACTATGGACACAAGGGTGTTGCACAGTGGGCATTCCATGACCACCATGCTCTGAGCACATCAGGCATTGCCTCTCAGGTTGACTATTAATGTGGTGCTCCTGCCTTCAGAGGTGACACAAGCACAGTGCTTTCTGGGTGCCTGTCAGGACAGTTTTGGGAGCAAATGCTGTTGAGATTATCACGTAAGTGATCTATATGGCTAGGAGAGGGACTCCTTGCTCCTGAGCTGTGCAGCTGGTGCCTGCTGAGCACTTGCAGAAGCAGCTGGTGAAGTCAGGAGGACTCAGTCAGCAGTAGCCAGGAGAAGACTTTTGGCCTAACACTGAAGTCCCTCAGGTGTTTTCTCCCCATGCCTTGTCTGTCTGATCCCCCACCTAGTAAAAGCTTTGTCAGCCCTCTGACTGCTCTAAGCTTTCCCCCTTTGTATTTTCATATCAAGTGGCACATTTCCTTTTTTTTTGTTTGTTTGTTTTAATGGGGGAGGGGAGACTGCTGGTTATAAAGCAGCCTCAACTCTGGTGTGTTCATATCCCAAAAAATCCTGGTGTGGCTCAGAATAGGCAAAGCTGCTGTGATTCCTCCCATGTGCCAGGGTTGTCCATCTTGTTGCTTTCAGTACCGTGGACCTGGGGTGAAGTTTGGAGATGGAATAAAGCCTGTGTGTATTCATTTTTAAACTAAACGTCTCCTTTTTCTCCCCCCTCCTCCTTCCCTCCAGGCTACTTCTGTTCTTGATGTCAGATATGCATCTGCTTCGTGAGAAGGTGCTGTAGCCTAGAACAATTTGTGTTGACTACTGTGTTATCCAGGATATCAGGTATTAGCAAACCTCAGACAGCCATCTGCATCATATCTGTGGACAAGCAGCTATTACCAAAAAAAGGCAAACGCTTCCAGTCCTGTGCTACATCTGCCTTAATCTCCCCTCATTCCTCCATACTGCCTCCACTTTCTTTCAAAAGCACCCAGGTAGCTCAGTTCTCCATTTCATCAACGTCCTGCTTAAGCACGGGGATTTCTAGAACCAGAAACACCCGTCTGTAAATTTTGACCAACCTGCAAAGCAAGGAGCTCCTTAGCAGCCCCACAGTAACTCTACACATTAGGAGTTCTTAAAATACTTGGTCTGTAGGGTATAAGTACATATTGCTGCATGGCCTTGTGGTCTCCGCTTCCTGTGTATTCTTATGATGACACTATTATTAGTGAGCTTTCTATAAAGGAGAGGCCTGTGCACATGCCAGTGGTGTCAGGTTTGTCCTGTCCAGTGGTGTTAACAAGCAATCTTGAATAATACAAAGTGATAGGCAATGTTATTTCCTAAGGTTTGGTCAGTCCAAGGTTGTAAACATAACTCATTACACTTCTGGTTTGTGCAATTCTTTCCGCTGTATTTGTGTGTTCTTGCTTCATAGAAAGCTCCCTAATTGAGCATTTTATTCGTGTATATTCTAATGGCTTTTATTTAGTGTAAAAGGGAATACGTAACCTGAAACTGTTTGATACGCTGTTTAACCCCTGGCATTCAACATTTGCATTGTAACGTGTTAAATGAGTGCTACACAACTTTTTTTTTCCTGATCTTCTGCGGGATTAAGTCAAAACAACTTTCTCTGGTGCCTCTCCTTTTGGAATATGTGCCTTTTTACATTTGGCTACCATAGGTCACTTTCTGTCCCAGTGTCTCATTCCTCTTCAGAGCGCTGTTTGCCAAAGACATCAAACTGCTTCTCCCACTGGAAGTCTGGATGAGGGTTGGAGCACAAAATTCGACCTTCAAATAGTTTTTGGTCTCTTGGAAGTTTAATGGAGAAGAACTGGGTTAATTTCATTGGCCATTTTAACCCTTCTGAAGCACACATCGCTTCCATGTTCTGAACCAAAATATGCAATTTAGAATCTAAGAGGTGCTTTTCCAAATACTTGGTGCATGCAGCTTTCAGATCCCTAGTCCTCTGCTCAGATGGCCTGTGCTGTGGCCTATCTAGCTGGCTTGAACTGAAGCTTTTCTTGAAAGTCCTGTATGAGGACTTTGCAACTTGAACAGACTAGTTGCTGACTGCTGAGCAGACAGTGTTCAGAGAAACTAGAAGCAGCAGTATTACTTCTTGTCCAGTGGAAAGCTGCACAGTAACACTAGTCACAAAGCATTTAAAAATGGTTAATGTAATGATACTGAAAGAAACCACCAGGTATCTTTGCAGGTGGTAAAAAGGACCTTCTTTACCTCTCTTCCTCTACAGAGGGTTCAAGCCAAGATGGCACACAGCCATGTATGGCACCAGCTGCTCTTTACATGACCTGAAATGAGCTAGTCCATGTTCTGATCTGCAGCTGAGGTGCTGCAGCTTGGAGTCTAGCCCCAAACTTGGTGCTGATATTTGAGCTGTGAGGCTGTGCTGTGTTGTGTGCTGTGATGGCTCAATTCTCTGTACCTAAACGAGGTAGGCTAATGCCAGACTGCCAACAGAGCCAGCACCTCCAGCAGCACAGACAAACCCAAGGAAAGGCAGAGGACATAGTCTCATGGACCTCTGAGGTGGTCTCCTCCTTGAGTGCTGTGTGTATAAAGTAATTCAATGCCAGAAATTGAGCAACAACACAGACGATGGAGCAGATAGCCATTTCTTAGGGCAAGCTAGAGTGTGGAGCCCTAAAAGGGCCAGTTTCAGCAACTTTGCAGCTGTTCCTGAGCGGTTTCATTCTGGTAGCTCCAGATCCTTTGAGGTGATGGGAGAATAGAAGTGAACTATTCCCTATCCTTGGTATTGGAAACCTATAACCCAAAGTTGGTGGCAGCATTTCTGCTGTTGATGGCGGCTCTGATGGCAGCCCTGCAGATGTTCCTTCAGTCCTGTGCCAGTTGGAGTTGGGACTGTCTTGTGAGAAAGGACACTAGTTGTTGGCCAGTGTGAATTGGGATTAAAGGTGGGTGAATAGCACTGTGAATTCAGCCGACAGTTCTGGTGCAAAGCGATGCTGCTTATTAGAGATACTCTAGTATTAAACCTCCTGCACAGAGACAGGACCTCACCAGTGTGAGAGGGCTGTGTGAGCTTGCATCCCAGCTGGTGAAACTCATCAGGAGAGGCTTCTGCTGGTGAGTTAAGCTACCTGTGAAGAATTCCCATTGTTTCTTGCCCTCATCTCTGTCCATCTTATGATCAGAAAAGTTGTGTTTTGGCTTCATCCCCAAGGGGTAGGGGGAAACGTATAACTCATGATACTAGGAAGAATAAAGTTGTTCTTTTTCAGTTGACTGCTATCTTATTGTAGCTGATACATACAATATAATAGCACTGTATTTTAAACATTTAGTTTTTTACATTCTCTTTAACTATCTTTTTAAATGCGATAACATGATTTTAGCTTTTGAAAGTTTAAATGGTTTGGTCTTGTTTAGGTGAAGACCCTCTTTTTCCTTTTTTAAATGGGTCAAGCATTAGCTAAATCAACTGGTTGCATTCTGATTAGAAGGGTCCACAAAGATAACTGCATCAGATAGAATACTCACGTAAATTTTGTTTCTTAAAACTATCAATGTGAATGTCATAATTATATATATTTTGTGGAAAATGGGAAATTATTTCTCCTAAGTATAAGTTATTGTGCAAAATATGGTATCGTTCAAGAAAATGATAGCTCAAGTTTTAGTTTTAGAAATCTTAAAGATATAAAAGTGTATTGCATATGCATAAATAAATTTCATTTGTTCTATTTAATTTTTATGTAGTTGTGTAAAGTGCTAGGTAACTTCTTCTTTCGCGTATCCATTAAAACAACCTTGTTACTTGAATATTCGTGTTTAACTGGTTTGAAACAGTGATCAATTTTTGTAATACGATCTTACGACCAAGGGAAAAAAACAAACATGCCTCAGTTGTGCTTAACAATATAGCAACAATGTACAATCAGATGCTTAAGACCATAGTAGCCATTAACCGGTAGTGCAACCACAATGGTTGTCTTGATATATTTAATACCAATGGGGATAATGAATTCTTAATATATTTTTACAAGTTTGCAACCAGGAAGACCCCATAAATATCCACTAGAACACTTTTTTAATAGTTAATGTAAGAGTGAAACTCTTACTCTCTTAAAGCAGTCTCCTGACAAACATTTTTCTTTCCTGAACAATTACATCTGAAACATTATGTATTAAAATATGCTCATTGTCACTTTAAATTTCAGTTTTTATTCTCTCCATCTCTAAGATGCTGTTGGTATTCTTGCACACCAAATATGAGCCAAACAGTGCATTACACTAACTTGATCACTGGACTTGTGAACATAAATCTCCAAGTCAATGAAGCGCAAAAATATCGTCGGAGATTTTTCTGATAATACGTCTTTTTCAAATCTGTATTAAATTATGCATAACCCATTCAGCAATGAGTGGCCTGATACTTACTCTTTACAAAAAAAAAAAAGGGGGGGGGGAAATAATTTTTAATAGCTCCAGCTTGTCTTCAGCAAGTCAAAATCTAGTGATCTTGTGCAATGCCCCTAGAGCAAATACTTCTCTGCCACTCCCTGGATTAATGCAGCTTTTCCTGTTGATAGTAAAGCACAATTGCAGTAAAAGTTACAGTTCAGAAGATGGAAGGTCAGTATAGTCTATGCATGTTGTATAATAATGAGTGTTTACATTCATATTCTCCTAAAATAAAATTTATACTGGAGTGTATAGTATTCCATTATGTAGATTTTATCAATTTTGTTAACTGCTTATAGATTGCTTAAAAGAAGTTTTTTCAAGATTTTAAAAGATGTATAAGGTTAAGTTTGCAAATATAATGGAAATGCTGTATAGCTTTTGAAGTGATAAAATACTCGTTGGGATTTTAAAGAAAGTATGTTGTAATAATGCTGTTGTAAGTAATATTTGAAACGTCTTTTTTGCCTGTTTTCTATTATTCAGCACACTTACTGTGATGAATGTTCATAGCATTATAAAATTGCTTAGCCACTGAAAAGTAACATTTGGTTTTGGATTATTTTACTGTATGAGGAATTATAGTGGGGTAAATTCCTTTGTGAAATTCTACATAATTCATTTTTCTATGATTTCCAATGTTTGCTGACATCAAATAAAATTTTTTCAAGCCATTGATGTAATAAGATACATAGTAAAATCTTATTGGTGTAAAATGTGCTTCTGATATGTAATTGATCCTCTACCTTTCAGCTTTTGGTCAAGACAACTGACTGGGACTTGCCCCTTCCTGTATTTCATCATTTGTGTGTAGGTGTCACTGGAGCAAAAGCATGTGCTGCTGGAGTCAGTGGGCTGAGTCCCAGTCTTGGGAAACCCAAGCAGCCTTTAGTACGGTTTTCCCAGCTGGTGCAGTTTGTGTCAGTGGCTCTGGAGAGACTGATGCCCCTTTTTTTGGTGCTGTGGCATGTTCCTCTCCCCAGCCCTGCAACCACAGGCTCTGCGGTCCTGCTGGCATGGGCAGTGCTGCGCAAGACCACTCCAGTTTGAGAGGTGGTGGGACTGGGATGCTGGCTGGGCTTGAGGGGCTAGAACTGGGGTGTAGCTTGTAGGGCAGGGATGGAGACGAGCTCACAGTGTCACCACTTTTGTGTTGAGGATCCAAAGAACAGAACTGCTGGCTGCTGCATGCAAGGGCTGGCATGTGGCTGTACAGCCTAACAAGGTCATCATCTTTGTCCTGCAATGCAAACAGTCATTGGAAATACATGGGAAAAGGGGAATCTTACCTGTCAAGCCTTCAAGTGTGTAGCTGTTGCTATCACATATGCCTAAAATGACAGGAAGTTTTGCAGAGGGGTTGAACCTTGGGATTTTCAGTAAAGTAATATTTATCTTCATATTCTGGGTGCAACTTGGCACGAAATGCAGAAACACAGAGAAGATACTGAACTAATACTGCAAGGTCCTATGGTGGTTTCCAATGCTGCAGTGTATGGAGGGCAGGAAGTAGTCATGCCTTTCTTGTAAAGCAAGGGGGTGGGAAGGGAGATGGGCTTGGGGTTTTGGAAGCACATGACAGCATTTTAAAGAGCCGAGGGTGTTTCCTTGCTGGAAAGCATCTTTGTAATTTTCCCGTTGGCAGAGAACACAGTACCTGTACTTTAAGGTAGTGATCTGCTTTTTTAGCAGAGTCACTTGGCTAGAAGAATTTTTAGCCCTTAAGCTTCAACACAAAACCCCTTCCTGCCCATGTGCCTCCCCAACCCTAAAGCAAAACAGAGAAAAATAAAAAGATAACTTCCTCCCCTTTCAGTCTGGAGCAGGTGAGGAAACTGGGG